TAAGAATCCACCAATAGATCTTCCTTCAATTTCCTTCCGGCGAAGGGGGCTCGTCGAACGCGCTTCGCGCCCCAGCCTTTTGTCACACGCAGACATCGAGTCGGCTGTCCGCTTCTTGCGCCGCATTTCAACCAACAGAGCTAGGCGCTGCTTGCCTTCCTCTGTCTCGTTCGCCCGCCTTGCACAGCAGCGGCATCCGTTGCCTGACGCCGCTTTCGCTGTTCACCGGTTGCCCGCGCGCGCATTGGCTTCCGCCCCGTGACGTCGCCTCCCTCACGCCTTTGTCCTTCGCTACTCTCCTCCTTTCTAAGCAGCGCGCTTCCCTTTCCACCGTGTTTTCCTCAGGGGGACGACGTCAGCTTTTCGCTGTCATGTAGGCACTAATGCTATCGCATTAATAAATGCGGGTTGTACATTTTTCGAAGCAGCACGCGGAGCGAAGAGAAGATAAAAATTATCTTCTGCAACCATCATTGCGATATTTGACAGGCTTTATACTTCTGGTGATAATAAAATTTTAAATCGACATGTCTGTTGAGTGGTTTTCCGCAAGACCTGCTGCGAAGCAGACATGCAACAAAGTTTTGAAATGCATCTATGCTGTTTTTTTTTTGTTTTTTTTTATATGCCAGCCAAAGTGCGTTATACTGTGACAAATTGAGAAAGACGACGAGATGAGTGCCTGCGGGCACGTCAAAGCGCCCAGCTCTGATTGTAAGGAGAGTGGGGGGACGCCAAAACCTGGCTGCCTTTGGTTCTCACGTCTCCGCGCTCTCTCATCTCCTCCTCCAGTTTCTCGCCATATTGAATAAAGCTTATCCATTCCAAGCGTCACAAAAGTGGCAAGCGAGCACCAGACACTGGGCAGGTTCAATGTTCCGTTTGCGTGTTACCTACATCTATCCGCTTTTGATAGTCCGATTAACATTTCTGTATTCGCATGTCTTTGCAAGGTCGCGGAAAAGGGCGCACGAGCTCATGGACATCCATTTTTTGGCTGTTGGGCCGCGAGCTTTACAAGTGCAGGAAAATTGTGTGGCGTTTGCTGGAGATCCACATGGCCAAGGTCGTTCTCCTGACTGTCTTTGGGGTCGCAATTTCTGATGTGAGTTGCTACTAGGCAGGCTGCTTGTGTTACCGATTTTCGAATTTGATGAAGCACTAGCCAAAATGGTTCCGATAAATCGGTCACATTTGGCGATGTGCGGGATTTTCAGCATATGTATGCACGTATACTATACTCGCGCATTTTTTTATAATGGTACAGTGCAGTCCACTTCTGACAATAATGAGACAATTCAAAAATGTGATTGTTATAACAGAATATCGTTGTACCTAGAGTTTATACCCCAGGCAAACACGCATGGTCCTCTAAGAACTGATCGTTTATCGTTAAAATTTAAAGTTAAAATCTTTGAATGTGGTATCGTTATAAGTGGATTGCACTATAGTACAATAGAACCCTTTCGAAATTTCGAAACGACGCATAGAATACATACGGCCGCCATTAGTTGGTCATGCACTGTGAGCACGCTTTGCACACGAGCGCCTCGTCAGCATTCGGACTGTACTCAGATCAATGCGCGTTCCACGCGAGTGCTGCGTCAGTGCTCCGCGCGAAATCGAAACCAATCACGGCCTTCACGCCGGAAACGATGAAACCAACTAATGGCGACTGCGCATAATCTATGCGTCATTTTGAAAAGGGTCCATTGCGAGTCAAACAGAAGCCCTTAAGAGCAAACACTAAAGAAAAAAGCCTTATTATATCCCCTTTTCTAGATTTCTAACGTGCACGTTTGGCACGGCACAAACGGATAACACCATAGAACCACTAAATAAGATACACTTAGCAGTAAGGACATTTCAGCCATCTTATTGGTGCTGACAATCATTGTTGCCAGTTATCCGGAGCTTTGTCCGAGATCGCAGGTAACGGGATTTCGGTCTCCAGAAATGTGAAAATAGTCCCCGTGACAGAGCAACACTTCTGTCGCCTGAGCTTCCTGATGTCGTATATATATCTAAGGCTCGGCGAGCCGCCTTTTCGAGTTCAAACGATCGCCTGTCCGTTTCCCGCCAAGACCGACCGCAGCCAAAGCTATACGATCCGACGAAGCCAATTAAGCGCAATTTCGTCTGCTTCTTTTGCTGGGGGTTGTGGTGGCGTCAGAACGCCGAGCTCCGCTTGGCTCTGATTGAAGCTTAGTGTGGGTAGATCTTTAAAACAAGCTGCCTTGAGGAGGTTTACTAACTATCCTTCAATCAAAGCCAATCCGAGCCAATCAGAACTTGGCGTTCCGACGTCACACCAACCCTTTGCAGAAGACGCGGACGAACTCGCGATCCGCATAGCCATGGTACTCGTCGTCTTTGTGCGTTTGTTATTACCCGCTAATGTGAAGTGAAGTATAGGCACCAACATGGCGGCGCCCAGGAGAAAATTGTGGAACAGAGTGCGGATGCTCTTAGTGGGGTCTATCTAGTAACTCGTATATATCTGGCAGGGTCCTCTTTTGCAGGTGTCCGCAGTGCACGTCATCTTTGTGCTGGTGGTGGTTGTGGCACTCCCTTTTCGATGGCTTCAGCCCTTTCTCATTCACTGCTGCTCTGTATGGACATCGATATTGTTCCTCGCCAAAATGGTCTACCAGCTCAGCTTCGTCGACGTACACGGCTGGCACACCAACTGCTCGGTCAGTTTGTTCGAGCCTCGCACTATTACCATCTCGACAAGAGCATACGCGCTAAGCTCGGTGTGTCGGATTTATTATACTGTCTCGGTTGTTTGCCGTTTTACATCGGAGCTGTTGAAGGAGCTCTGCAACGATTTTAACGTTGAAAGAATTAGCATCTTCTACTTTGGACATTGTTCGTCTTGTCACAAAGGACAGAAAACACACCTGCTTCCTTCGAAATGTTCCGATTCCGGCGCGTAATCGCGAGGCAAAAATTAGATTATTCCCCAACCTGCAGCCGCGAGCGGAGGCCATGAGAAACACGCCGCATGACGTTCATGGGCTTCTCGTAGAAAGATAGCAATTTCTGCAAATACCTGCTGGATAAAAGGTAACTTTTCTATAAATGTTGTCGTTCCAACATAAATAAAAATGCGTCAAAAACCTGGTATCATCGACAAACTTTTATTATACGGAGTTTTAGTGGCGCCATCTATCCTAGGTCCACAAAACCGTCAGCTCTATCTGCTCCCGCGAACAGCCGTCAGAAGCTGGAGGGGGAAGGGGATAGAGCCGGACGAGTATGGCCGGACCCGGATGAGACTGTCCTTTTTCCACCATATTGTTCTCGCTGCGCCCGCCAGCACGTAGTCACGCGGTCGAGAGCGGATGAGTTCTCGCTGCTCATTGATGGCTCTAGAGAGAGAGCTTCACCGGAACACCACGCGACCCCCATTGACGTCACAGCGCACGTGACTCGGAAGGTGGGGAAGGAGATAGGAGGTGCCGAAAACCTCATCTGTCCATTTTTAAAATAAAAACTAGGACGTGCAGGCAAAAGCGGTTTTTGTTCACTTCAGAAAGGTTGAGACATTGACTCCGAAATTATTTAAGCAAAGCACAGCTCCTTTAAGGGCTAGTTTCCCCAGTATCGTGTCCACGGACAGAAAAATTTCGAAACAAAACTCCAGACAGCTACCGCCATCTATAAGCGACGGCGGCAACCTTTCCAGCCTTTCAACTCTGGATTCCACCAGATTGGAAAGGCTGCATTTCTCTAGGCGTCGTTCTAAAAGTTGTCCTCAAGGTCGTTCTACAAGTCGTCTTTGAGACCATCCTAGACGCTGTCCCTGAGGTCATCCTAGGCGTCGTCCTCTAGGCGTCGTCCTCGAGGTCATCGTAGAAGTTGTCATTGACGTTTTCCTAGACGTCGTCCTAGAGGTCGTCCTCTGGACGTCGTCCTTGAGATCGTGCAAGAAGTCGTTCTTCTGGGCGTTTTAGACGTCGTCCTCTAGGCATCGTCTTAGACGTCGTGAAAATAACAGCTTGCTGGTTCTCCATCTTTAAGTGAGGGGGAATGGCTCTACATCTTTACGAATACATTTTGGTAAGCGCGTTTTGTAGGGGTGGCTATAGATTTAAGCGGGGAAATTGTGACGTCACGTGATAATGTAATTTTGCATTTTTCCCAGATTTTGAATGGCGGTGGAGAATGAGTGTGTGTAGTTTGTTTGCGGCAGTCTGTAAGCTCCTTGGCAGTCCCCTCAGTTCATATTCAAAACACAAAAATAAACCGCCAACGTTTTTTTCCTTGCCCAACGTCTCACATTTATATATATATATTCACAGAAATATATTGTCCTTAAAGGGGTTGGTCGAGGAGGTTGCCAAAAAAGTGATCTTAAAATGTTTCAGGCCAGGTAGGCCCGGAACGGTTCATATATATATATATATATATATATTTCTGGGTATACAACACATATCTCACTATTTTTTTTCAGTCGATTATAAGTTGGTAGCATTTCAATCTAAGACAAGAAAACGGGTTTTTAAAACGCACCGTTCCGGCAACGCAAAAGCTATACAAATTCCACCAACTGTTCTTGCCAAACGTATATTTATATTTTGCTAATACTTTAAGAATTTATTCGCCTCTATAGTATACAGATAAATCGATTTATCACCCGACAAAACGTCACTGATAAATTTGTCATTTTTACGCTTTGTTCCGGAGGCCGAAACGGAAGCCTCAACACTCACGAGGTAGTCGCCAATCAAATTATAGTCCCTGCACAGGTTAAGCACACGGCGTGGGGTGTCCGTGCATCTCATTACCGCTCCCCAGCCAATCAGATTGCGACATTAGGTGATAAGAAGGTCGAAGAATTAATCACAATGCAAGAAGCGTAAGGAGTCCACGCCGTGCGCTTCCTCAGATGTCAGTGACTCTAGATCCTATTATAATTTAGTAATATTTACGCTTACAAGGATGGCGTATTATTTATTCCGTAAGGTTTTTTTCCTTTTTTTCTTTTTTCTCAGAGCGTGTACGGAATCGACAGCAACGTTACGGTGTTCCCGGCGCCGTTTAATTCTACCATTGACGGCCGGGTCTGGATTGGCTTCCAGAAGGTCACCGACTTATCTTTCTACAGCAAGGTGAGCAATTAGACTTTTCTGGAAAATCCCACAAAGCCTCTTGTCGACCGCACATTGCATTGACTTGTTTACACTCACGCCATACCTTCTGGAAGCGACGGTGTAATTCATCCTCTCTTGCCGCAGCGAGTTGAGAACAGAAAGAAAACATGAGAGACACATAACAGCGACCCTGTTCTGTTGTCATGCTTTCTTTTCGTTCCCAAATCGCATAATGTGAAAACAACATGAGCCGCTTCGTCGATTTATGGATCGATAATCCTTCACGCGCAGTATACATCGGATTGCCGTATAGTGCGTCGAAAAGACGATGGAAGGCACTGCGTATTTCCGGAATCATTCATTGTGCTACTTCCATGTGCTCACACTTATGGATGACGAAGATTCGCACGCGCACTCAACGTCTAGGAAATCACGAGCCTATACTTGAAAACTCAACACCATCTTGTCGACCCTCCATAAGAAAATGTCGAGTATAGACATAAGGGAACACCAACCGGAACAGTCATATCAAGACACCGGCCTTGTATGTTGCAGTTCGTGATTGACCAGTGAGCATGTTTGATCAACACGCATTTTCTGTCTTTTTATTAAAGTTTTGCCTCGGTGTTACTTAATAGAAGAGTTCTTAGAGTCGTCCTAAATACCTTAAAACGCTCATTACGTTTTTTTTGTAAGGTAGATAGTATAGCACCAAGACTGGGGCCGCTGGAAGCTTAGATGATTCAGCATGTTCTGGAAGCACCCAAAACTCCCAGGCGACGTTTTGTTATTTCTCCATGGGGGTGTATAGTACGTGTAGTATTCACGTTACTGGACAGAGAAGAGTCTACATTATGTGGGAACCTTGCTTTAGTTTTTTTTTTAATTTTATTTTAACTTGATGTGATAATCATATGGGGGATGCCGATATTCATATGGGGGACTCTCCGAAAACTAACGAAAATGAGTTATTCATTTATCCACAAAACTTGAATAAAGTATTTTAGAGCACAGTTCTCAGTAGGCGCCCGTTTCCGGATTGAGCGGCGTCGCCGTCGCCGTCAGCGTAACCGCGCGGTGCATTGTAAAACGCGTGACGTCAATGGTGACGTCGCTGATGACGTTACAAGTGACGACGAAGATGACGTCATTGTCACTGATGACGTCATAAGTGACGTCACATGTGACGTCACTAACGCAAAAAATTCCCCACTAAATCTAACGGAAAAAATTTCCCCGCTAAATCTAGTGGCAAAAATGCCCCACTAAATTTAGCGGAAAGCATTTGCCCGCTAAATCTAGCGGAAAAGTTTCCCCACTAAATTTATGGGAAAAAATTGCCCCGCTAAATTCTCGCCAAATTTGCACACGGTGCTCTCACCAAAGATGTGCATTTTCTGCGACTTGCGTTAAGCACACGTCGATCCACACCCATGTTCTAGTGGGGGACTTTCCACCTTCTCCCCTCAGTACCCATCCCTCCTCCTCCTCAAGAGCTGCGCTCTAATTCGGGGTTACAGGGCATTGTAAACGTCTTTAATTTTTTTTACATCTAAAAACACACACAGGGAGAGATGCTGCTGACGTACACGACGCACTATTTTGTGCCGCGTATGCTTTAGAAGGCATCTGAGCTTTTGTTCTCTTACAGGGATACATCCTTCTCATCGTTGTGTTCTCGGTCCACGCCATAATTCGCTATCGGCAGCGCTTCTATCGCGCACGGAACCGTCTCCCCGAGCCGCGTCCTGGGGTTGTGTTCCCTTCGATAACTCGCCAAAACGCCGATGACGGCATCAGAGAAGCCCTCAAGTTCCTGCTGAACTACTTCTTCTACAAGTTCGGAGTTGAGGCAAGTCTTTTTTATTATGGGGTTTAGTATCGACCCTGATTGATGAAGAAACACGTTTTGTGCGTTTGTGTTCGTAACTCGTTTCCGGTTCCTTGGGTTGCATATTTATGCATCACCAGCTCGCCCGCGCGTTTCCTCTTATCTTGATTAGGACGGACACCTTGACGTTGAGAGTTCGTCGCTGCTTGACTAACCCCAACTGCTCGTAATGTCAGCCACGCCACCCTAGACAGCGAGCGAAACAAAGTTTACAGAACACTGAACAGATTTTTTTTGTTTTCAAAAACAGGCGAATGGGTACGACAGATTAGAGATAGTGAGGCCATAGTGCCAAATTTTGGGCTCATATCGTACAGAAGGGCGACGCGGGGTATACCCTGAACACGTGTACTCTGTCACTGTTCGGTCGTATTCCTTCAGTCAGAACGCGAGTCCAAACTGAACTCTGACGTCGTGTGCAATCTGGACAGCCACGTTAGCCTCCTTTAGGTAAGACCAAAAGTTTTGCACCACGGCACCGCGCTAACTAGAACGTGCTGACTGGTGCATAGTAAGCTAGATAGCGTGAAAGAAGAGACGACAGACACAAGCGCGTTAACCACAACTATGTTAGAGGTGCGGCATTTGTCCTTTTTTCGTATGAGCTGAATAGTTGAATAGGGAGCATCCCCGAACTATTCCCGCTAAAGACAATGCAGAGCTTAAGTATATATCATTATGATGACTCCGATAACAATACCCTATACTCCACTGGCGCTTTTGGGCATGCATCGTATCGTTATTGGGCAGGAGATCGAACTATAGGGAGCGCTTTATCGAGTTTGTTGTCCCCACAGCCCGGCCGTTTACTAACACAGCTAACAAATAAATTAAACCTCGCCTAGCAGGGTCTGGACACAAGCGCTTCCACTTGACCAGTGTTTTGCTTGCACGAAGAGCGGCCTTCGAATCGTCATCTTCGATATCTCAGATCAAAAACAAACAAAAAATTTCGGTTTCTTGTCCGCACAGCCTGAAACATACCGCTAGAGGCGTGACTGTTCGATCTCCTCTCCAATAGGGTGTCGTCGTGAAAGGTACCGGAACAATCGACTAAACCCTCTAATCCTTCCATTTCACTTTGGTCCCATCTACGTTAGCCCAACTCTATCCCACCTACCTCCTGAGGAGGTTCGGCAAGGCGTGACGATAGCGCGCCACTACCTCGCAGGTGTGTTTTGTGACGATGGTGAGCAGCATCGGCATCCGCCTGGACGCGTTCGCCCTGTTTACCTCACTCTGGCTGTGCGGCATGTTTCTGCTGCGGCGGTGCTACCTGGCCAAGGTGTGGGCCTTTTACGTGGCCTACCTCTGCTTCGTGCTTCCGCTGCAATACGCCATGGTCATGGGCATTCCTCCGGGACTGTGCACCGGTGAGTGTTAGAAAGTTGTGAACCTGGGTTTGGACTCCGTGTGCGCTTCTCTGCTTCGGATCCCATAAAAAAAATATACAATTATTGTTTTTTTAGAAAAAAAAACTTGTGCAGTGTTTGATAATAAAAAAAGGGATTAATACTTTCGGTTATTTAGACAGTGCATGGATACAGAGACGAACAGTACATGATGCAATGTAATCAGGCAAGGGGATATTGATGTATTTGTGAAGTCACCGAGTAACGCGTGACCACTGAAATCGCAGCTGTGGTTCGTTTCACCTTAAATCCAGACGCAGCTCGCGTCTGGACCAATCAGACAGCGTCAAAAGCGCACCATCATGGTATCCGTCATGTTTCCGCGCGTGTTCTATCATCGCTGAACCAATCATAAACAGAATAAGCCCAGTGCACCTTGACGCCCTGCAGCCAGTGAGACAGCGGCATTTGCCGATCACTGAAGGACCAATCACGAAGCAAGAATTACGAATGTATCAGGCCCCACCCTTTAAGCTGTCAGAGACTCTACACTCTAAAAAACGTCAGTGCGTCTACTTTCACACACAACAATTGGAGAGCCAATCACCGCAACTTACGGAGGCAGCTCAGCGAATGACGATGCCGAAACATACGTTTAGACCAAAAAACGCTGTCTGAGTTCTGACATTAAGGAATGCAAAACGTCACACTTGCATCGCTTAATGTCACAACTCAGGCTGCGTTTTTTGGCCTAAACATATGTTTCGGCATCGTCATTCGCTGAGCTGCCTCCGTAAGTGGCGGTGATTGGCTCTCCGAGTGTTGTGAGGGAAAGTAGACGCACGGGCTTTTTTTAGAGTGTAAAAGGCGATTTTAGGCGGGACCCGCCTGTCGAACATGTAAGGTGTTCAGGAGGAAAAGTTGAACAACACCCTTTCTGTGCGTCGTGGCTTCACGTGTGCAGAATATCCCTGGTGGAACCCATCAAAGAAGACGCTCCGGGAGACGGCCCTGTGGTTTTTCCTTCCAGACTTTCAAGAGCCCCCTTTGGCGTGGAAGCTGTGGCGTAAGGCGCTCGGAACTCATGAGCCTAACAATAGAGAGGTTTAGAGTTGCGTACAGAAGCAAACGCAAGCGGCGTGCGTTTGCGCTGCGTCCTCCACGATGTGCCTGCGCGTCGTCGCTATGCTCCAATTAAGACGCAGATTCAGCACGCACGCGCCGTGGGGAACACACAATGCTATCTAGATACGCACAGTGCTTGCGTTCGCTAGTATACGCAATACTAAAACTCTCTATTGTTAGCGCGTCTTTTCTTTCGGTAGAAACGTGATAACACACTTGTATATCGTGCTTTAAATAGAACTGCCGCAGCTAAAGAGCGCGAGGGCTTCCCGAGGGGAGGCGCATTTAAAGTGAGCACGCACATACACACACACGAACGCGCACACACCTCATTTAATCTCCGATCATGATTCACGCTCGTCAGAAAATAGCGCGGAGAAGAATTTAGTTGTCTTAATTCTAACATCTGCAATGATGTAGTTTGATGACATGCAATACATTTCTAATTGAAATGTGCCAGCAGGCGAATATTTCAAAAGATAATTAGTAAATTTCAAGTCATTAATTTGTTGATTATTACTTAACGCCCGACGTCCGACGCGGTGGGTAACGTTTATCAGAAGAAATCGTATCTTTATTTTCAGGGCCCTTTTTTAAGTATAATTTTCCCGGAAGTTAGAAAAAACACCCTATATAGATAGTCAACTTTACGAAATCACAATATTACGGACGCCTCAACAATACGCAGTGTCCGAATTGTGTTGTACTATCACGGACAATTTGAGCTGAAACAGTGCTCCGGCCGACGTACGTAGAGTTCCTGTATATGCTACCTACGGTAGCAGAGTTGCGCATTCAGCCTCGGCGCGTGGCCGTAGCGCCGGCTTTCCCGCACGAGCTGGTTGCTTTGCTCCTCACGTGACTAAATTTGGCGAATAGCGGCGCCGCGCGCGCCGCCGCGCATGGAAAACAGGAGAGGAGGAACAGGAGGCGGAAAGCAGGGAAACATACGCCGGGGCAAGAGAAACGTCGGCGGAGCGACCGTAAAGGTGGCTTTCTTGCACGCCAAAGGATGCTTTGCTCCTCACGTGATGGATCTCGGCGAATAGCGGCGTGGCGGCGCGGGGAAAACAAATGCGCAACTCTGGCTCCCGTAGGGAGCCTATAGACCGTTCCAGCGGCAGTCTCGAACGAAGCGATTCACAGCGCGTGTCCCTGGTTTTGAGAGTGCACGTCAGTGTTGCCCGACTGCGCTGAGCTGTGGAGCTTCTCGTCAGTGGGCTGTGGCAGCATGCGTAGGCGCAATTCCGGACGCTAATGGGGCTGAATTGCCGCGTTTTCTTTTTTATCTTGTGTTCTGTGGCGAACCTAATTTTTAGAGGTCTTTAAGAAAGCAGTGCTCTATTTTTAGGAACAAAAACAAAGAAATGAAAGCTGTTTTGGTGAGTCCGTGCGCGACAGAACAAATGCAACTGTTTCATTTTATGTTCGTTGTTTTACGGCACCGTACACTCAGCCGTGTCAATCTATAAAGGTCAAAATATTTGACCACACAGGATATCCGTACTGCATGGATATTCTCGGCCCACAACATAAAATTCAATGAGTCTCATTAATCGAGCAAAAAATATATTGTACGTACCCCACGGTGCCGCGTTATCCGAACAGGATTTGAGAAAGGTCTCAAATAACACAGCATATCCAATATACAGTGTCGACAATAGTCACTTCACGACGACCGGACGGAATCCGGCGTGTTTTCGGGAACATGTGGAAGGGAGCCCCCTTTTTTTGCACAGCTTCATAGCAAATGAACGAACGTGCTTATTCCGTCGCCACACCCCGGATTCGACCCTATCACCTAGTTTTTGCGAAGACCCGGAACACAGCCTGGAAGGCTTTTTGGAGGTTATCTCGACGGAAATAATCCTCCAAGCACGTCGAACTGCCTGCGTCGCGGGCTGCTTGACGTTCGCTCTCTTGGTTCGTTTCCTGCGAAGGCCGAGCGGGCCACGAGCCCTGGTATTCCCTGGTTCTCACAGTGGAAGATAACATACAAAAAGGGTAAGCATCCTAAACAGGCGAATAAAGCAAAAACTTCCAAGAAAAGCCGCCGAACTCCGAATGCAAAATGCAGGTGGGGAGTCACGTTGACCAAGCTTCCACAGCTCAGGCGGGTTCTGGCTGATAGGGGTCGCTCGATTCGCAAAATGGCGACGGCCAGAGCGCTCTTTTTGCAAAGGTCTATACAGGAACTCTAGACGTACGGAACTATCTGCGCCGCCTGTCGCCTTGCTTCGCACACACGGCGCACCCTGAGGCCGAGATAAATTCTCACTTGTGCTCCCTGCGCCGCTACGCTCTTCCGGCCGTCTGCTAGCGAGACGGCGGGTGCGACAGCGGGCATGTGTGTGGTAGGGCGGCAGAAAAGGGGGGGTCAAAGGATTACACTTGTCGTCCCTTTTTTGGAACTGATTTACTTCACTGTATCGCGTAGTATCATGCAGAAAAAACGATGACCGGTGAAGAAAAAATGTAAAAGTATCCTAAATTGCAGCTGCGATTATCGTTTTTGAAAGTCACATCAAAAGACGTTGCAGGTTGTTCTTGTTTGATTAAGTGCATGCACAAAGTAGGACATCGTAAAATATAGGCCAAAATTTATACCGGATTTAGTCCGGCTCCAAGGTAGTTACTTTTTTATTTCTTTTTCATTGATCACAGCTGTTTAAAAAACCGGGAGTATGCATATGTTACTGAGAAGGTTTTGCAACCTTGATTGGTAGGAAAAGATTCAAAAATAGTATTTCTTCATTACTGGGCCCGCAAGTTTGTTTCAAGCAAAACAAGTTGCTGACAAGACACCAGTTTCTTGTCTACAAATTCCCTGTCTTAATAAAGTGGGACAAACATTCACATATTTGCCAGGAGAAAGAGCTTGAAAGTTAATCGAAAAGATATTCGCAGAGGACAATGTCAGACACAATAGATTAATAGTTGGCGTCGAGGTTCAACTGCACTATACAAGAAGATCGGGACCAAGGAGGCACCACACAAAAGTATGCGCTGGCTAACGGCGTCAAGAAGTATGTCGCAGCCGTAGCATCAAACTTTGTTCCAATGGGCAAAAGTCTGGTTCAGAGGTTTCCGAGGTGCACTAAAACTTACCAGAGAAGTTAATACCGCGTCATTCTCCCCTGACCCGCGACCACGGGTCTGATCCTGTCTGGTAAAAAATCATAGAGCGCGGCCACGAAGTCTGGCTCAGCCCGAAGTCACTCCCATTCACCTCCCATTGCTTTCCACACTTTGTAGGCGGTGGCGTGGTGGAGGGGACGCCGTGACATGGCTACCTTGATGCGCCTCCAAACGTGTTCGATGATATTCAGATCGGCACCTTTCGGGGGCCAAGGCAGCTTCGTCGGGCAGCGCTCCTCGAGGAGATACGAGCGTGACAACGCTTTTTCCACTTCAGCACTTTCTTGGAATGCATTGAAATGCATGTTAGCTGAAAACGTGAACATTGGGCTATACGGCACACGCATCGTGATGGTGGTTTCGTTGGCCGATATTTTCGCAAGCAGACGGCAGGAAGAGAGCAGCGGCGCAGTGAGCGCAACTGAGAATTTATCTCGGCCTCAGGGTTCGCCGCGTTTACACAGCGATGCAACAGGCGGCGCAGGTAGTACCGTGCACATTGCAGGCCGGAGTGCTGTTTCAGCTCATATTGTCCGCGACAGTACGTATTTCCTGTCGCCATGTGCGTCACTGTGCTGAAAATCGTTTGAATGTCGTGCTTTATGTAAACCTTTCTAGATTGCTCGCATCTTCTTATGCAGCGGACTTCATACAACTTCTCTTCGCGTGCTGTCAGTTGTATGTCTTCTTTCTCGAGTCCTCAGCCGGAGTGCACGACGGAGGATCCAACGGAGAGATTTACGACAGGAAGGGATGCTTTGTTGGCCAAACTCCGAACCCTATGTCAGACTTTGTCACCTACAGGAGGCAAGTACAGGTTTCTCCTTTCCCGATTTTCATATGCTAGTAATAATTCGACCGCTTGTTGAATAAATTCATTCAAAAAGAAACCTTCCAACTAGTTTAGTTACAATATCTGTATGGTTAATCAACCTCGTCTTGTGAAACCGCGCGACCTCGGATGCGGGAAACTCTAACATTAGAAACAAAAAGCGAGATTTATCGGATTGTGTTTGAAGGCCAGATACCACCCCAGGCGCAAGCTTTGTGGTTCATAGCTTGCTTCAAAACGGCAGCACCATGCTTATGGTTTTATAAGGGTGACAGTCGGCTAAATTCATGAATGCCACGACAGCAATGCAGTGAGTACTGATTATCAAGGCATACTGAGAGAGCAATACGGCTAGCAAGGTTTACCAAAACGCGTCCTTGGCGCATCAAAAAAACGCCAATCTAAGGGCCACACGGAGAACAAGTAAAAAGAACGCGCAATGACGAGGCAGTCAAGCACGCGCCTCATTGGTTAAGGTCGGGGAAACAAAAAATATGGGCGCATGTAGCGGGAAAACATGGGAACGCGCAAGGAGAAGCCGGACTTGCTTGTACTATACTACTATTGCTGTATTGCTTGTACTACCGTATTTACTCGAGTGAGTCGCACTATTTATGAACAAGGCCCCTGAGTCTACTTTCCCACAGAACACATATACAACCAATCATTGCGCTGCGCATAAATAACATAGCGAATAACCAGATCGAGAACACGATTCTCCATACAAATTCAATCTTCACAGATGGTATCTTTGCACGAAGACGTTATCTCTGTCCTGTAAACAGCTGGAATCATGCTGTCGAACGCGGTGATTGGCAATCTGCAGTGCGTGCTACGCGGAAATGCGAACCTTCGGGCTTTCTTCATAAATAGTGCGGCTATTGCTCGAGTAAATACGGTACACTACGTAGCCAAGAACGTGTCTCTGACTGGTTTGTTTGGCGTATTATTCTACACCGCGTATGGACTCAAAGTGGCAATAAATGACGTCACAAAAAAACCGGAGTGTCATGCTGTCGAGTGTCGCGATCCTGGCGGTTAGGTGTAGAATTTCTGGAAAGAAGCACGATAGATTGCAAGAGTCGCTGTCGTTGCGACGTCCCAACCCTTGACTGCCGGAGCTTCCGTGGACTCAAACTGGAGAGCGACTGCAGCAGAACAGGCGTCCGCGACATCCACCACCGCTGCTGTAGCACCGCCAGGATCGCGGCCGGCGAGAGCATGACACTTTTATGACGTCATCACGAGAAAATCGAAGAACCACTCCTCTGGTCGCGGTAAAAAACGCACCTGTCGGAGGCGCGTTTCAGACATCGCAGTACCTGGTGGAAAAGGTAGCCAATATCTATGCTTGACATTAGTAATGACTAAGTGAAGAAAAGAGGTTAATGCATGTTTCCGCTCAGCGCAGGTCTTACTTGTCAACGGTAAAGGTGTTTTTGTTCTTCCCTTTGTACTGGATCACCCTGGCGGTGATGTTCCTGGCGGGCACCAACCGCGTCAGCATTTTCGCCATGGGCTACGTCCTGGGCTGCTTTTTCTTCCTCTGGAACGGCAACGAGTTCTACCTCAAGCCCATGAAAGTCCTGCTCAAAATGTCCGTATACCTCTGCGAAGTCACGCAGTATATGGTTTCACAATACGCGTACTAGGCGTCAACTATTTTGTGCTACGTTGTCAAGGGTAGCGTAGCTTCAGCGATGGCGAAGCAACTTGCGCAAGCCCGTGTTAATAGGACGGAAGACAAAGCCAAACACAAATTTTACACCCTTAAGAGTATAAATCAGTTTGTCCCAGGACTAACGCTCCAAGGGTGTTTGAGCAGCACCCTTTGGATGCTGGCGAACACCACTTGAGACGTTAATCTTGGGATTTTGTGCACTTCTTTTGTGTGCGAAAACACCCAATACAGGCGCAATGAATCACGTATGACATGACGAGCACGACCATACAGGCGCAATGAATCACGTATGACATGACGAGCACGACCCTGTTGATTGCAGGTAACCGAAGATTACGCTTGCTTTGTCGTTGCCAGTATTTTACATAAGGCATAATATGTCTAGGATCAAGGAATGTATCTCCAAGTAAAAAGCATTGGTGCAGAATAATTACTTGACGCAGGAGCTAAAACAAGCTGTTAAAAGCGGGTGTCAGTGGATCATAAACCCTGCAGAAATGAAGGTTAATTCTCACTTCCTTTTCTAGACCCTTTTTACACCCTTCAAAAACAAAGTCTGTTGCATGCAACACACTCTAAAAAAAGCATGTGCATCTGCTTTTCCGCACAACACTCGGAGAGCCAATCATCGCAACTTACGGAGGCAGCTCAGCGAATGACAATGCGGAAACATATGTTCAGACCAAAAAGCGCAGTCCGAGTTGTGATATTAAGCAATGCAAGCGTGACGTTTTGCATTGCTTAATGTCACAACCCAGACTGCGCTTTTTAGTCTAAACATATGTTTCGGCAGTGTCATTCGCTGAGCAGCTTCCGTAAGTTGCGGTGATAGGCTCTCCGAGTGTTGTGCGTGAAAGTAGACGCACAAACTTTTCTTAGAGTGCAGCATACTATTTTACAATTAAAGAGGGCGTATTACTTTAAAGAAAGGTACTGAAGATGCGAAGTGAGAGTGTAAGTCTCTGGAAACATTTGTTTTGCATCTTATGGGGTGTAAACTTGGGGTGTAAAGGCAGCATTGCGGGGCCGCAGTGCTCTGCATCATACGTTAACGTTGAAAACCTAGCTCAAATAAATTACTCAGAAGTAATTTATTTACTTATTTATTTTAGTCAATGCCCACAGCGCCTTAGCAGGCATTATAGTGGAGAATGTATATACATCAAATCATACAATGTCGGTAAGATCTCTGCTCCACTGCAGAATAATAATTCAAACACAGGAAAGACAAATGCTTTACAACATAACATAAACTATGCAAGGGAATATAAGCTAATGCATAAAAGAAATCGAACAAGGTTTAATCTAACGTGAAAAAAGACAACCTTTGATAGCATACCACCCACAGACAGAGACAATCGATGCAGTCAAAATAGTTATTTGGAAAAAAGATATCTTAAATATTTCTGTGGTATACTAATGTTCTTGTACCTATATTTTTAATGGTCAACATTGTCTGATTGATAGTGGGGTCGCGTTATGTGAATGTATTTTTGAATGCCAACTGTCCAATGATAAATGCTGTGAGAAACTTCAAATGAAGTCCTGTGCGAGTTTCGAGTAACTTCACATTTTAAAATATATTTTGCGTGTGTCGCGCTGAAATCCACTGGCAAACTTATACCGAACATTATTTATTTAAAATTTGCAGGAGAAAATCAGCCAGCGTTTAGGAAAACACTGTGTACTTACGACGACCTGCGTTATTTTATTTTCTGCTTCAGGTGGAACGCGTTGCTTGCCTACAACGTGGTAGTTATTTTCATCAAATCAATTCTCCAGGTGGGCCTTCTTTGCTTCATAAGCTTCACATTCAACTTATAACGCTGGCCGTCTTTTTTTTTTTTTTTTTTATTCTGTGTTGTGGCGTTGATACAACTCTGATGGGGGTATCTTCCTTTCCAGATGGTGGGCTGCGTTTTTTTCGAATACATTGACAATTACTCATGCTGGTTGGTGCAACTTTTTGGCATTGCTTGCTTGAGAAAAAGGAGGCAGGAATATTCTGGGTGTAAGTATGGGAATACCGCGACTTCTAAAGTCCTTTCGGGACTTTGAAAACGTTTCCTAGAGTGCTTCCAAATGTATATGATGCTACGATTGACACATGCAAGTTGCAGGGAAAACAGAACTCTATCTTTCTGGGGGTCGTTCAAAAGCTAGCCCACACAAGCGTAAGCCCTCGGTTAGCGCTTCCCTAGTTTTATTGCAAACGTGGCCATCACATGAAGTGGATGTCCACAATTTATACATCAATTCAGGATATAAGCTTCGCATGAAATTGTATTGTAAATGCAACAAAAATGATATACGCTATTAATATTGTTTACTAAACAATATAGAAATATAAATAAATATACTTACTCAGGCATTCAAGGCACCACACAAACAATAAAGGGGAAAAAATACTTCCGACTTCTCTTTGCTGCTCTGTTGGTGTTTTTTTTTTTTTTGCAAGCCTCTCTTCAATTTTACGGGCTTTAGTTGAGCTAGTGGTTTCTATGTGTTGTTAGTATTGCTGGTAAGCTAGTTGAGTAATTGTTTTTGTTGCGGGATTCAGTTGTCCGCATTAACAAAAGTCTTCTTTCCTAGCCATCATAAATTGCTGCTTAATATCATTGGCGCTAACATATAATTCTCGAAACAGTAAATTACCATGGCTGACCTTGCGATAAAGATCAGGGTAAAGGTAGAACACCACAGTTCCTCCACCCCTCCCCCTAATTTTGTCACTGGGCGGCATGCATACGTTAAGTAAACCGTAACGTCACACTTTCATACGGTTATAGTCCTTCTGTAAAATTCACTTTTTCAATCGTCCAATGCTTGCCGATGACTCTGTGGGTTCCAGTCAGAGGCACTCAACATAATTTTATATTTACAAGAAAACCGTAACAATAGAAAACATGGTCCGATCTAGCCGCCGGTCCGCTCGGTCGCCGAATCGCAAAGCTCGTGTCTCGTAATCTGTTCTCGTGCGCCTCGGCTTCTTTTCTCTCGCTCCAGTGGTACAGCTGGCACGGCTGCTACAGATGCCCCCCCTTAGACAAGTGGCGTTGGCCACTTGCGTCGGAAGTGTAGAGTGGGTGAGGAAATTGTTCTGGGAGGGCGGAGTGGTAGCACTGTCGAGAGCGGCGGTGAAAGCGGGTTTTAGACTATCCAGGGAAACTGTTTCACGACGTCCCTGTATGAGCACAGTGTAAAACTTGGGTGTTCTGGCTACTACGAGATATGGACCATCGTAGAGAGGTCTGAGGGGCTTTCTGACCGCATCTCGACGGACAAATACATGTGAAGACTGGGCGAGAGCAGGGTGAATGAAGACTTGCCGAGCACTAGGTTTTTGTGTTCGTACTGGGCGTAAAGAGCTCATTGCTTCTCGGAGTCGTTGGACATAAGATGATGGATCCATTACCCCTTGTGCCGTTGATGGTTCGACCATGTCAGCAGGTAGACGAAGGGGAGAACCGTACACGAGTTCTGCCACGGTACAACCCAAATCTGGTTTTAGAGTTGAACGTAGTCCGAGCAACACAACAGGTAGGTTGTCGACCCATGCGTCCGGGAGTGGCTGTGCTCGGAGCGCAGACTTTAGCTGTCTGTGGAGTAGCTCGACGAGGCCATTTGCAGCAGGGTGGTATGCTGTTATACGCGTCCGTATTGAGCCTAGAAGAGATGTTAGCTCGTGGAATAGTGCACTGGCGGCCGCGATCGGCGGTGACCGTGGCAGGCACGCCGAAGCGGCTGACCCAGGTGAAAACGAAAGCTCGAGCCACTGTTTCCGCGGTGATGTTTTCTAGAGGCATCACCTCTGGCCAGCGAGAAAATCTGTCCACACAGGTCAACAAGTACGTGAAATTCCGTGAAGTTGGAAGTGGGCCAACGATGTCCAGGTGGACGTTCTCAAAGCGTGAGGATGGTAGGGGAAACTTTCCGAGTGGTGTGTGCGTGTGGCGTTGCATCTTCGACTTCTGGCAGGCTATACAAGAGCGAACAAAGTCCCGAATGTCGGCGTTGATCTTGGGCCATACGAAACGGTTCGTTACAAGCTCTTGTGTCGCGCGTATGCCTGGGTGGCAGAGGGTGTGAAGTGAGGTGCACACCGCATGACGTAGTTGCCGTGGAACATAGGGTCGGGGTTTTCTCGTCGATGTATCGCATACTAAGCTGATGCCATGATCGGAGAGGGTAACTTCTTCAAGGACGAGGGATGTGCCGGTCTTCCAGAGGGATTCAAGTTCTTCTTCCTGAGCTTGAGCCGCTGCCAGTTCAGTGTACGTGAACTGTTCTTTTTCTGTGTTGAAAGCATTTAGCTCGAGGCGTGATAATGTGTCTGCGACGGTGTTTTCGTTTCTTTTCACATGGCGGACGTCGGAAGTAAATTCCGCTATGAATGAAAGATGTCGGAGTTCACGTGGGGAATGGTTCTGGTGTGATGACTGCATGGCATAGACCAGCGGTTTGTGGTCTGTGGCGATGAAGCAGGTACGTCCTTCGAGGAAGTGTCGGAAGTGTTTGACGGCTAAGTAAGCCGCAAGCAGCTCTCTTCCGAAGGTGCTGTACTTCCTCTCGGAATCTTGAAGTTTACGTGAGAAGAACGATATGGGAGACCATACATCACCGATCTCCTGTTGCAACACTCCTTTGACAGCGATGTCCGAGGCGTCGACCATGAGGCAGGTTGGGGCATCTGGAGACGGATGCACGAGGAGTGTGGCACTGGTGAGCTCTTTCTTCACGTCCTCAAACGCAAGTATTGCCTCCGGTGACCATGATAATTTTGACTTCTCGCCTTTGGAGGTAGAAAGCAGTGCCTCTAACGGCTGTAGAAGGTTGGCGCAGTGGGGAAGGAAACGCCTGTAAAAATTTATCAACCCCAGGAATCGCCTGAGGGCACGCTTTGTTGTAGGCTGTGGACAATCAGTGATGACTTTGACCTTGTCTGGAAGTGGCCGGATACCTTGAGAGTCGATGTGGTGACCAAGGAATGTTAGCTCCGGTACTCCAAACTGGCATTTGTCAACGTTAATTACGATGCCATACTCTCGTAGCCTGTCGAACAGCGTGATCAGGTGGTTCTTATGTTCCTCCGGGTTTTCGCTTGCTATGAGGAGGTCATCCAGGTAGGCAAAACAGAAAGGTAAACCACGGAGGACCTGGTCAATAAATCGTTGAAAGGTTTGGGCCGCATTACGTAGACCAAATGGCATCGTGACAAACTCGAAGAGACCGAAAGGTGTGGTTATTGCCGTCTTGGGAACGTCTGCAGGTTCAACAGGGATCTGATGGTAAGCTTTTATGAGGTCTATCTTTGAGTAAATGGTAGTGTCTTTCAAATGGTAGTCTTGAACGTTTTGGAGTGGATACCGGTCCGGAATCGTAGCTGTGTTAAGAGCCCTATAATCGCCGCATGGTCGCCAATCACCGCTTTTCTTGGGCACCATGTGCAGAGCGGACGACCAGGGGCTTGAAGACGGGCGTACGATTCCGAGCTGGAGCATATGCTCAAATTCCTGTCGTGCGACCCGGAGCTTTTCAGGTCCTAGTCGACGTGGTCGGCAATAAACAGGTAGGCCGGTTGTCACTATATGGTGCGTGACGTCATGCTTAGGCATCTCGCTGATGTTGCGTGGCTTGGTGAGGTCTGGGTAGTTCTCGAGCAGGCTGGCAAATATATTGGAAGGAGGCTTGATGAAGGTGGGGCTAAGAGTTGGAGTTCGGGACGCCACACCGGAAACTTGTAGGTGAGTGGTCGCGTCAACCAGCCTCTTGTGTGCCATATCCACCAAGATGTTGAAGTTTCTAAGAAAATCTGCTCCAATAATTGCATAGCTGACATCCGCTACCCAGAAGAGCCACTGAAATCGGCGCCGGAGACCCAGGTCCAACGTCAGTGACTTTTGTCCGTATGTTTCGATGGTGGACGCGTTGACGGCTTGCAGTGACGTCGTTCTGGCGCGGTGTCGGCGATCAAAAGATGTGGCGGGAATAATGCTGACCTCAGCACCTTTTTCCACCGAAAAGCGGGTGCCGACCGGCTTGTCATGGATGTGGAATAGGCGACTGGTGGGCCGATATGGGTCGCTCGCCGCCACTAGCGATCGGCCGTCCCGTTTTCCTGATCCCAGGAACAGGGAGGGTGACAATGGCGGGACTCTGATCCAAACTGTCGATGGTACCTGCAGAGCAAGTTGCCCGATGGTCGAGGCGATGGTGATGCTCGACGGCGGTTGTCACGACCAGCGTGCTGCGCGCGGCCTTGTGAGTGCCGCTGTGAGGACTGAGACCGGTGTCGAAATTCTCGGCGAAATTCGGATACAATGGTCGTCAAGTCCTGTACAGCTCGACGCAGCTCGGCGATGTCGGAGACGAGGTCTGGAGACTGCTGCGTGGCACCGATAGTGGGGCCGGTAACCTCCATGATTCGATCTGCCAGCTCGGCTAGTTCAACGAGGGGAAGCCTGTGGGCCGCCGCTAAGCCGATGCGAACAGAAGCCGGAAGCCTCTGTAGAAAGAGTTCGCGGAGAATGGCGGCGTCGACGGAGGCCGCCTTGACACCCAGCAGGTGCTGCAGATGACGCAAGAACTGGCTAGGTCGGCGGTCGCCTAGCTCTTCAGCGCTGAGGAGCTGCTGAAGGCGTCGTTGTTCGGAGGCAACAAGACGACTGATCAAGGCCTCCTTGAGTACGTCATAAGGCGTTTCGCTGACCGGGGACAGCAGAATATCTCGGACCTCGGTGGCGGCTTGCGGCGGGAGGGCGTCAATGAGAAATTCGTACTGCCGAGCCTGGGAGTTACTGCGGTGCAAGCGGAACTTGTTTTCAACTTGCACGACCCAGAGCGCCGGGTCCTCGGCCCAGACCTTTGGTAAGGTGAGGACCGCGGTAGCTCCAATTCCCAAGGTGGCGGTCATCTGGGAGGTACTTGCTGGGGGGCTACTTGACAGGGGGGCTCCTTCATCAGACTGCATGGCCGTGGACGTCCGGGTCACCATTTATGTGGGTACCAGTCAGGAGGCACTCAACATAATTTTATATACAATATTTACAAGAAAACATTAATAATAGAAAACATCGCCCGATCTAGCCGCCGGTCCGCTCGGTCGCCGAATCGCAAAGCTCGTGTCTCGTGGTCTGTTCTCGTGCGCCTCGGCTTCTTTTCTCTCGCTCCAGTGGTACAGCTGGCACGGCTGCTACAACTCTAATCCAGAAGTTTCTTCGAAGAAAATTAAAATATTAGTTTGGTTCAGCGTGTTACATACTGAAATAAACACAACGCAACAGTGAAAGTAGAAGGAGCAGACAAGAAAAGGGCTGACTGACAGGTGACGTTAAAGAACGTTGATGTTTTTTTTTATCTCTTCTTTCTGCTTGTCCATCAAAAGTCATTTGACAGCCCAGCGCTTCTCCTATTCTCTCCTACTTGGCCTTGTTGTTGATTGCGTTTATTTAAGAAACCGCGAAAGCAAGCACCGGCACAGCAATTCGATAACCAATATTGAGTTTGAGATGAAAAAAGTACTTTCAGGAGGTAATTAAATCACATTATTAATACCTTCCTGAAAATTGTGAAGATGTAATTAAATTACATTACAAATTACCACAGACAAATTGGTGACATTACATTACAATTACTTTCCAAAAGTAATGAAATTACTTTTACTTTGCTTTTTAACGCCTTGAGGCAGTAATTCGTGCTTATTTTATTTACTGTGTATGTTCTACATAGAATATAGACCTCCTTGAACCATACTGAGCAGTCGTTCCGCTGGCGCACACGACGGAAGTGTTAAACACGATGAATATATTTTCTTTAGATGGGACACAAAGACAGTCGACTCACCGGTTTCGCTCTTAATTCAACGGTGTACGAAGAAGTTATAGACGTTTTCCGTTTCCCGTCGTCCTCAGTCACGTGGGTTCTGTATCTGGTATGCGGGACGAAAAATAACAAATAATTTCTTCAACCTAAAATATGCTTGAAAATATAGGCGACGCAAAACAAGAATGTGTGCACATCACGCATTTTTCGTAAACACCTTCCAGCGGCGTGGAGAGATCCAAACGGTGTTTGACCGCATACCAGAAGGGACGGCATTGAAGATGGCTGCGCTGTTGGTTTAAAAGGTGTATAGTCAGTATCAGTAACTTTAGTCGGGCCATGGGAACTCGTTCTCACATAGAAGTCGTCATGTGAAACGTTTTCTTTCCGACCCAGACGCCGTGTAATCCTTTTCTCTCAGGAGCACTAGTTAACGCATACTCGCGCATCTTCTCGAGGAATATCATTTCAGGACACCCGAAGAGCCCGAGTTCTTGCACGCTGTCAGGCAAGGGATATTTCTTGGGCAAAAGCATCGCCAGTTGAAAAATAAGCTAGTAGAATAGATAAATGGGCTTGTTGGTACATCACTCAACGGAAAGCGCCGAATAAACAAGGACGAAGAAGGGGACAGAGACGAAGCGCACTCTCAACTGAAGGCTTATTGAAACAAACATTCACTTTTAATACCGTCTATCTGGGTGTTGGCTCAAAAAGAAAAACTCTTTATCTGTTAAGTGCAGTGACGGCGCACTAATACACAGACTCTGCCCTTGCTCTCTTATGCAGAATGCCTCATGTATTTCTCGCGCTGTTTTGTTTGCGTGTCTGCCCAGAACTGTTGTTTTTTCCGATTCCGGGCCACATGGGCACCTATCACTGTGCAACGCAAGACTGCCCGACGAGGACCGTTTCACTGACCAGGAATGTTCCCTGGCCCTCTCATTTATGCAACGCCCCGTTCGGCCCACATACGATTTCCCGCAACTCATTGGTATGTTATATATCACTGACGTTGCACACTCCACGTAATGCTTAGCGTGTTTCTTTTGACACACTTTACCCTCTCCCTTTTCGTTGTTTATTTTTGAACATAGATGAGACAGCTTGTGGGGCGCTGAAAACACCGCTGGCGCTTCAAAGTATGTCAAAAAGAAACACGCTAAGCAATACGTGTAGTGTGCAACGTCTGTGGTATATAACATACCAATGAGTTGCGGGAAATCGTACGTGGGCCAAACGGTGCGTTGCATAAATCAGAGGGCCAGGGAACATGCCTGGTCAGTGAAACAGTCAACATCGGTCAATCTTGCGTTGCCCTGTGATAGGTGCCCATGTGGCCCGGAATTGGAAAAAAACATCCGTTCTGGGCAGATACGCAAACAAAACCGCGCGAGAAATACATGAGGCATTCCGCATAAGAGAGCAAGGGGAGAGTCTGTGTATTAGTGCGCCGTCACTGCACTTAACAGATAAAGTTTTTCTTAAAGACCGACAACCAGTTCGCGCTTTCCAGTTTTCCCTCGCTTTCTCCTCTCCCCCCTTTTACCCTGTCCACCGTTGCCTATATCCTCCTTCCCTATGGGGAGGAGAATCTTCTGCCTTGCAGAATCTCGAGTCTGTTCGTCGGCCTTTAAAGAGCCAACACTCAGATAGACGATATTAATATCTTCAATGTTTGTTTCAATAAACCTTCGGTTGAGAGTGCACTTCGTCTCTGTCCCTTTCTTCGTCCTTGTTTGTTCGGCGCTTTCCATTCAGTGAAAAAAAAATGAAAGCAGTTTACAACTCCCTGTAGCGCCGAATTAGAGGGCAGCTTTTGAGGAGGAGGAGGAAAGAGCGCCGAGGGGAAGGTGTACCTTTCCTCCACACCTCCCCATCCTGCCTGCTACTCCGCCCTCCGAGCGGCGTCGGCCTAACCGTCAGGTCACGTGACCCTCGTGGCGTCGCGTGACTCGTGACTTCACGGCGGTCAGATGACCTCACGGGGGTCACGTGACCTCACCAGGGTCACGTGACCTTACGAGGGTCACATTGTCTCACGGTTACGCCGATGGCGACGCCGACGGCGATGGCGACGCCGCTCAAGCCGGAAACGGACGCCTAAGAGTTTCGCTCTAAAAAGGGATGGCTCGAGCTTCCTAAAACGTTTACTTTCCCAACAAACGGGTGGCAATATCTCCGTGTTTCCTGCCTCACGATTAAACTCTCCAAAGAAAGGCAGAGAGGCTTGCGCGTGCGGCATGAGCTTTTCTCGCTTCACGTCTTTTCCAAGCAAAAGCAACTTTCCCTGCCCTCCACACTCCTTGGAGTGAAAATAGAGTTATTACAGCGCAGCTGTTAAGGGCTAGTTTCCCCAGGATCGTGTTCCCCGCAAAGATATGTCGACACAAAACTCTGGTTCCCGCCGTTGCTCATAGATGGCGGTAGCCGGTTGTCCGCTTGCCGCCGTCGCTCATAGATGTCGCAACCTTTCAAGCCTTTCCACTCTGGCTTGCCAACTTGCGGTCGGCCATTACTTCCTTCCCACCATAGTACAGCTTCGCTGGTCTTCCCTCTTCACCAAAGTAGAAAGGCTAAAAGTTTTTATTCTTTACTTACCAAGCCCAAGGCTACGCGCAATAGGTTTTGGGGCCTGGACAAGGTATTTGGGACTCTTTATTTATTCCGGTCGTTTGTTGTTCCTGATGGTCGAAGCTTAAAGTTTAACCTTGATTCACGAAATAGTAAAAAGGCTGGCGATGTGCGTGTCCTAGCTGTCCTTCCAGGTTTTAAAATCTGTTGCCCTAGCTGGTGATGTGCTCTTCGAATTCACTAGGTTGACAGTGCGGTGGAAGCTACGCGCTCATTGGTCCAGTCACGCATCTACATTTCGCCACGTAACCACACTCTCGTTTATACCCACGCCCAGAGAATTGGTCAGGGGATGAAAAGAAGGTGGTTGACTAATCCCGGTGAGCTCCTAGCCCCCAGTGCACTGTCAGCTTAGAGATGACCAATGTAGAGAACCGTCATGATGACGTGGCGCGATGACGTGGCGCCGTGAGTCTGCCTTTTCTGGAGTTCTTGAGCCGTGGCCTTCGAGTGACGTCTTCACACGACAGCTTTTCTCTCCTTCGCCTTTTGAGCCTGCCTTTGTGCGTCTGGCGTGTTCTTCGTACGAGGCTTAGTTCTTAGATGACCCTCCTATATTTTCTCTGATGTCTCTTCCACGGGATTTCACCATGCAAACTATTGTTTCTACTTTTTTCTTAAAGCTTGCGAACGACCTTTTTTTATTTCGGACAAAAATTATTTCAAAAGTAGCGAGTAAGTTTCTAGAAATCACTGCCTGGAAGTAATTAATCGCATTACTAAATTACCAGCCTATGAAAGCAATTATTCACATTACTCATTACCACTCAAAGTAATTTAATTGCAGTAATGTTATTACTGCCATGCCTGGGTTCAGTCTAGAAGTACGCGTGACCCTAGTGACCCCTCTAGCCAGACCCACCCTCTTTCGTTCCAGGGCCCGAGCGTGGAACGAATGCCAACACTGAAGACGGCGTCTGTCGTGTGCCTCTGGACGAGGCTGGTCTGCTGTGGGACGGCATCTGCCTGACGTTTCTGCTGGTGCAGAAGCGCCTGTTCACTTCCTACTATTTCCACCATCTGATCATTGAAATCCTGGCGCAGCAGCAGCTGGCGTCTAGGGGCGCTGAGCTCATCAATGAAATGCAGGTCAAGGGTGTGCAAGTAAGCAAGACAGGAATGCCACTTTCTGGACTATACTTTTTCAAAGTATGGAGTATTCGCATGATCTAGGCTCCGAAACCACACGTTGGCACGATGATACACCTCGTCGAAATGGACAATGAGTCGGTGCAACGATAGCCCTACGCTTTAATTATAAGCCAGCGTGACACGTAGGTCATCTTCACGTTTCGCAGCCCCTAATCGGTTTGCTGTGGTCATACAAAAGACGGAAATGAAAGCGAAGTTTCTGGTGAGCGGTAACCAGACATTATGCGGGAATTTAAAATCTATCTTTTATACCTGTTAAACGGAAACTTGTGGACGTGGAGGAAAAACACAAAACGAGTGTTTTGTCGTACAAAGGTTTAGTTCGCCTTTTGAAGTGCTCTTCTAATACTGCTCCTTACCTAATTTCTTCGACATTTTGATTTAGTCTTGCTAAGCTTTAATTTTTTTTTAAGTTAAGAAGAGAGCGGGAGCAATAGTGAAAAAACTGACGATGTCATCCAGGAGCAACGTGCCGCCGACAAAGAGATCATGGAGAAGATAAAGCGCAAGATGGACAAGATCCGTGCCGCCCAACAAAGAGTGCGGGGTCATGAGTATGGCGAGCCGCAGACCCACTTCCAGGGTAAGACTCCCCGTCGGATGGTAGTTACTTTTTTTCTAGTTGTCTGTCACAATTCACTGCAGTCCTGTAGGGATGGCGAGGCCTGTCAAGAACACCACTGTTTGGCAGGAATATATGAACTGGAATGGGGGGGAACGTTCATTGATCGAATGACTCCGTACAAGGGGCTGTTACCTGTTTCTGCATGCAAAACTAAGAACGCACCTTGTTCGAGACCTCTCCGGGCGTCTTTCTTGGGGCCCTGATCTATACATGATAGACCAAGTGGAATCAAGGGGCCAGGACATTGCCGCCTGCTGCGATTGGTCATCACCGCGCCGCTGACCAATCGCAGCAGGCGGCGATGTACCGGTCTCTTGATCCCACTTGGTCCCGCCGCAAGATTAGGGTCCTTGATGTGGCAACCGCGACCTTCTCTTCGCTGGCCTTGCTCAATATCTACATGATGCGGTCAATAGATATATATAATTAATGTTTTCCCCGCGTAAACTTCTGGCGCGCGTCTTTCGGGTAGTCAACTTTTTTCTTGGTAACGTGGCGCATGAATCGCAGCCCTTCGGTCTGGTGACTACTACTTCTTTGAGGACTTCGCCGACATGGACATCGACCTCGAAGTGGAAACAAAAAAACAGAAGACCGATGAGGAAGACGCTGACGTCAAATTTCGTGGCCTCAATGCGGTGAGCTATAATATGACTCCACATGCGTGTCGATTGCCGGGAAGTTTGCAATGTTAAGTAGACCAAACAAAGTCAGAGATTAGGCTTACTGAGTTGAAAAGTTCCTTCTCTACGTATTTACGAGTTTGATCGTCATGCTAAAATTGCATTCACCAGGGCACCCTTTGTCATATAGCTCCACTGAGCTAGTATAAACAGCACATATGAATTATATTTGTTTCGAATATGACAAAGAAACTTGGTATACATCGCCATCGCCCGGCTGATTTGTAAATTGGCATCTCTTAAATTTACAAGATGCCGAGTGTCAACTGTTGCCCCATTGCTTGCAGCTGCTTACCAACGCTATGAGAACCCGTACCATTAAAGGCGCGCAAGAAACAGCCAGGAGAGGCAGCCAGGAATTCACCGAAGACTATGGAGAGTTGGATGCGACACCTCTCAGCACGAGTCATCCTGCACCTACTCAGGTAAAGAATCTAGGTCACGGCCAGCGCTGTCACACTGCTCATCTTAATGAACGGTTGAATAGACAGTCCTACACTTCCTGCTTCGTGATTATTACGATCAGACTCCTTGGTTTCTGATTTGTTATTCGGCATCCTTATTTTTTCATGTCGAATTCCGATTGGTTGCGGAGCAACGATAAGATTTTGAAAACTTTCCATGCCCTTCGTTTTATTTTATTTATTTATTAGTGACAAATTGTGCAGCGCTGTCTTGTTATTAAGATACCTTTTTTTTAAATATTCTGCCCAGATCTCTGACACAGCGGTCATCTCAAGTGTTGAGGCATCGAGAAGCGGAGCTGTTCCGTCGTCCAATGAGCTATTCCAGGCGGCTCCTCAAGTTCACCCGGCCACCGAAACTCCCACTGAGCGGACAGAGCAGCGGAATACCGAGGATGAGTTTTTGCTGGCGAGCGAAGCTAAACGAACCCTTCCCAATGAGGACACACTCACGGACAAGGTGAGAAAAGCCATTAGAGACATGTGAATTTTAGTTTTTGCTTTCAAACAAACAAGAATATAGATGTAAGGACACATTACTTCGGTTAATGTTGTGAATGTATCAGAACAATGTTTCATGGTTGTGAATGAATGACCAAATTTAGGTATAAATTTCTCAGTGTCAGATGCCTCGCTTTTTTAATAACAAAAATATGGATTACCATTTGACTTTCGTCAGTGGCAAATATCTCTCTTATTTTTTTAATGATAAGGTGCAAATTACCTTAATGATCTGAAAAACACTTGAAAATTGGGTACAATCCACTACACTCGTGCTTCTTTACTCTTCTATTGAAGTGTTAATTAGAAATGTCAATTTTTTAACTATTTCATTGTCCTATCACGACAGAACTTATGAGCTGGAGTGTTTTTTGTCAATGCGCGCACATTTCTTCATTTGCTGAGAGAGTGGTGTGTAAGCCTGCACAGTGTCAAGCCAACAACACAGACTTTATTCGATTTCGCCCCTTTGTCTTCAGCGTTCCCTTACTGGGGATCGACACAGCCTTTGGAAAGCTTTTTCCTCAAATCACAGCGATGAAATTATGGTAGGCCATTTCAGAGTACGCCTCGCGCCACACCCGAGCCGAGCATGTTATAATCGAGTTTCGTCACAAAATCTGATTAAGGGCTGAATTTCATACAAGAAGCGTTGCGCTCGAGTGTAACGAAAAATCGTTACACGCAGACCAAGACAATCATACGTAGAACTGAGATTTCCGGGACAAACTTAGAGCTAAAACCGGGACTAAATCGGGACCGGAAATGCCAAAACATAGGGACACTTTTCGGGACAATGTACGCTTCTGTGAGTACGCCTAGAATGTTTATTAGCGTCAAAATATTTATTATTCTTGTTTTATTATTCCGAAACACACGTCCTACTCTCGCACGTTGAAGGAAATGGTCAGGGAAATCTCAAGTGTTTGTTTTCCTAGGCTGCGCCTTTTCTCTGTTAACAAATTCTTAAAGTCGGAGAACGATCGCTCCTGTTCCAGAGACAAGCGGCAAAAACCTGACGGCTTGTTTGGAATCCAAGTCATAAATCTCATTTGGAGTTTTTGGGAAACGTGCCCACTCTATGGCAGGGTTTTTTCTCATGCTACCATTAGGAGCGTAAGCGGCACTATCGCTCGGCGGCCACCGACCGATAGGGTCACACACGCGCCTTCTAAAGCGTTGTATGTATCCAGCGCTTTAGAAGGCAGGGAAGGCAGCCGAATCATATAAGGCAGCGCATTCGGTTTGAACGCAGTTGAGTCGTTGACGAAAAAAATGCCACGCTGGATCCTCGCCGATACAAAAATATTATCAATGACTTAAAAGCACATTGTATACAGGCACTTCAGTTAAGCAACTGGCAACTTAATGAACAATCAGGACAGTATTACATTTTTCGAGATACTCAACGTAAAATCGGGACAAGTCGGGACACCTAATTTTACGAAAGCCAAATAGAAATTGCTCAATAGATGTGTACTGGTGGCTGACATTGTTATCGGGACACTTTTCAAACTCGGGACATGTCCCAGAAATCCCAGCTCTCACCATAAGGCATACGTGGCCCATAGCAGGCAACGCACAAGCGTAGAAATTATATAGAAGGCATAGGCATGCTTAAAGGCGCTGTGCAACGATATTCAGTTGGAATGTTTTTCACTATACACGAGCTTACTGGCACTAGTGGGACTCAAGGATACTCGCACGCAACGCCACTGGCCAAGAAACTCCTTTGTTGCGGTGAAATTTCAAGGACAAAAGCAATTATTTTCGTTCAATCTCTCCTTTGCAAAATTTGATGACGTAAGGTGGGGATCGCAGAACACCCAAGTGACGATATTTGAATGCGGTTCATAGATTGGACCCGAGCATTGCGTGGGCACTCGAATTGGGCTCGTGATAATTGCTAGCTCGAGAAGCATTCGGGTAGTCGCCCGCGCCCAATCGCTGCAACGACGACAATAGCCGAGCCATAACAATGTCTGGAACTCAGTGCGTGTCCTGTGCTTTGCCAACCCCAGCGCGTGGCTATGATCAACATTGGCGGCATATAATCGGCTCCAGATCGCGTGGCCGCTTGTTCTGGCTGCGAGTTGAGGGGGTGAACGCTGCTCGTTTTTCTTTAATTTTTTTCTGGGACTTCTATTGCGTGAAGCGAAAAACGAACGCGTGTTTCATAGGTCATTAACGTCAGGGATCTGTTCTAAGCGGTATTTGCGCAAAGTACAAAAATTGTTGCACAGCTCCTTTAATCATGTGAAGCGGAAACCGAAACCCGAAGCGTGTGATCCGCAGCACGACGTCTCTGCTCGCTGCCGCGAGATGAAATGGAACGGAAACAGCTGGTCTTCACGAAAGCCTGTGGTAGTAGGCGACCGTTGGGGCGTGCAGCTGGCTCCCGAATGACGAGGCGTCGTTCCCCACGTGATCTCACAATGTTAAGGGGCGGATCATAACTCACCAACAGACAGGCCGGTGGGCGTATGACGTCACGATTTCGCGCAGTAATCAATACATAGCGTAGCTGGCGCAATGAATGGGAGTTGTAGTAGATCGTTTTTCTCCTCCGCTACGATATCCATAAAGAAAACGCCGCAGCTGCGCATGCGCGCCTCCAGCCTTGTCTGCATAGTTCAAGATATTGTGGCGGATTACGGAGCGCTTTGCGGGTGCTTAGCGGGCAGCGGAAATGGTCTACTAAAACTTCCTAATGTCCTCCCCTCGCGGTAAGGCATCACGTGACATAACAGACGTCACTGCCCGCAGCGCAAAACACCCCCTGTATCAGGCGAAGCGTCGCGCGGCTTGAAGTCTCTACCCATAAAAGGAAAAGCGTGACGGTACCGCCCATATAAGGCGAAGCGAGTGCAGTGCCCTCGAAAGGTACACTCTCTCATATCAGGCACAGCCGGCACGGCGTGCCAGCGGCACTTGCCAGGCTTAGCTATAGGTTCGTTACACCTTCACGGTACCAGCACCATGGCGAGATAATTGCCTTAGATGGCACTTCAGAATTAAATTAAACTTGCCTTGGTCAGTCTCATAAACACATGACCAATCATACCGCACGCATAAAAACACACGACCCATTCTGTTTTCCAGAGTTTGATAAAGTAACCGAGACAAGTTTAAACTTTTTTTTTTTTTTTTCATTCTGTCCCTCGTGGCTGAAGGGCCTCCGCGGAAACTGCCAGTGTGGTAGAATTTGCTTAACTGGGTTGGACGCTTCACAGCTCCAATTTATATACCGCGTCTTTGAGCATCGCTTCCTGCGCGAAACCGGTGATTGGACTTGAGTGTAAATACGCTGAATGCTCACGCATGCAGTCGTGTAAATACGGGCTCTACTCGGATAGAAGGCGCAGCAGCCGCTAGGTTGCGCGCATGTTTGTAAAGGCTTACCGCTCATGTTTTGTTCAGCCATATACAACATACTCATATCATTCCATCCGGTTATGGTCGTCGAGCATTCTGTGCACATAGCGGCACCTTGACTACACCTATAAGTATACAATTCCTAATCATATGTTTCGGCATATACTTCATCAAACCGTTTTCCCGTAGCTGAGCGACTAGTCGAGTGGTCGAGCTTTTATTAATGCGAAGATTCGCTCGCTCTGCTTTACGCCATTGCCTTCTTTCTTAAAACAGCCGTGACTCAGGCATAGTTACTAAATACTACGGGGTTCACCCGATGCGAGCAAATATCTAAAACTAAACCTCGAGTTTGCGCATTTGTGTGTGTGTGAAAACCCCCTTTTTACACACACAAACAGGGGGTACGTGTGTGCTTTTGTGTGTGCGCGTCGGCGTGTGGTGCCTGATGTGTGTACGTTCGGTGCACATTATAGAGAAGTCGCCCTTTTGTCGATCCAGCTGACCAGCCTGCTGAACTTCACCTGGGCTCTTCTGGACAGCACGCTCATCAGCGCCACCGCCAAACTCAACTCGGTTTCCAAGCACCATCGCTACGTGGCGCGCAAACTGTCTGACGAGAAACGCGTCGTCAAGGAGAAAGTAAGCGATTCCCTCCGTACCGGTCGTCGTCTTAACGATCAGTCCCACTTATAGTAGACAAGGCCTGCTCATGACGTCATCGTTAGGTAGATCTGCAACCCGCCCCAAGCGGCAAACAAGCTTGGGGTGGTTGACAGTCTAAAAGGGTCTTGGAATCCCTCCTTGAATTTATCAGGGAAGTTAATAGTGGCTCCGCGTCCCTTGATCCCATCCTAACCCCATGCCCTTCCTCATTGATGCCTGATGGCAAGAGATGTGGTCGCTTCCCTTTGAAATTAATTAATGATGCTTTTTATTCAGTCATTGGTTCATTGGGTATACCTAACTTTTACAGTTCGTGAATGGTCTGGCGACCACACTTGGCGATTCTGCTTTGAAGACCAGGAAATTTCACTTCCATCAGTAAGGATATGTCCTTTTTTTCTTCATCATGTGAATGTTTGAAAGTTCGAGGCTCTTGACGGTATTCGCTCAACGCATCTGTTTTACGAATTATATAAGTACTTCGTTCTAAATAGTGGGAGGTGCTACTATTATTCTAATCGGACATAGTGTTGTCGTGTTTTGAAATGATAGAGCAACGTTACAAACCCGATGTCCAGAGGTTTTGTCACATAAACAATTTCGATATTTCTTTTATGTTACATTCCACAAGATTTTTTTTTTTTTTTGCCTTTAAGTTTTTTTTTTTTTTTTTTTCAGAGGTAAGCATATGTATGCCTCGATACAGATATGTCTATGCAATTCCCATAATTCACGACCATAATAAAGGAAGTTATGTTCGTCTATATATTCCTCTACAACTTGGAAGACATAATTGCAAGGAAGCCCTATACATCAAAAGAATTTCTTATCTAGTGCTGTCATAGAAGGTCGGTGACTAAGAGTCTTTTTTGTGGACCGACAACTAGTGCCTCTCAGTGCCTCTCTATGCCTCGACAATAATGCCTCTCAACAATGCCTTATTTATTGTGCTGGGTCATTCCACGGAAAACGATCCAGACCTAAACTCAACCCCCACAGATTCGGTCTAAAGCAATTGTATGTTCTATTGGTTATGAAAAGTAGCTTTTCCCATATATACTCCCTAAATTTTTTTTTTAATTATTTGACACTTTGAATTGTGAAGAAATAAACTCCAAGGGGAAGAAAAATGTTTTTTTTTTTTCTTTTCTTTTTGTTCGAAAAGATATGAAACGAGATTGCGAAATATACACAGTTTTTAGCAGGTCGATATATACTTTTCGAGTGTTTTTTAGGGGGCAGCTGCGTTAAAATTTTCATAAAAAAACATGTTCCCCTTTTTATTAAAAAAACACGATACCTTTAGAATTGGCTTACAACTTATGTGTTTTGTAGTAAGGGAAATATGGTATATTTAAAGTTATAATCAGATACAATTGTGTAATTGTGTTTCCCGAAATAAATTTACAATATTAAACATATAACAAAAATACGTGGCTTAAAAAAATCACGATCATAACCGAAACATCACGTGCACCATATTTTCAACCACGAAGAGTTACTACATTTAACCCTTACGCCCTTATTAAAATTGTTTCTCGCTATAGCACAGCTAGGGGGTTCTTTTCGGCCTCTGGCTGGCCAAGAGAACATGCCAAGCCTTCTATCTGCGTCTGGTGCACGCCCTGGCTCTGCCCACTCCACCCATTGACCAAACTCTCTCTCTATACACAACTCTAGGTATGACGTCAGACCCAGCGATTAGTTTTCTCGGTTTCTCTCAGTCATACGTAAGCACTATTTTTATTTGAAACTCATAGTAATTAAATTGTCCGCAAAAAAATAATTAATGAAGTTGTTTTTTGTTGTTTACTCGGAGCTGTTTTTACCAAATACATTTCTTGTCCCAGAAGACTATCTTGAGTCGGGCTTCTTGAGACCAACGGGAGACTACGCGAAAAGAAACTGGGAGAGGAGAAGACGAGAGCGTGCAGTGACGTCAGAATGCCGAGCTCCGGTTGGAAGGATTAGTGGGTAGACCTACAGCTAGTCTCCCCTGCACTCGTTGAACGCGTTAGAACGCGGAACGCCAGTGTCTGGCGTTTGGCTTTCCCATTCAAACGCGTTCAACGACTGCAGTGGAGAAAAAGGCTGCCTTTGTCTGCCCTGCACTCGTCGAATTCGTTAGCACGTGTAACGCAGGCGTCCGGCGTTTGGCTGTCACATTTCCATGTGTTCGACGAATGCGGCGGCGACAAAGGCAGCTGTCTATCCACTAAACATTCGAATCAAAGCTCGGCGTTCTGAGATCCCCGCGCGCTCTGGTCTCCTCCTCTCCCTCAGTTTCTTGGCTCACTGGATAATTGAGAAGAATATGTTGACCTTCTAAAAACGCTGTTTATTTCGCAGTCTCGTTTCATACCTTTCTGAAAAGCTTTGTTTTTTACACCCCCGATCGGCGCCTGAAATTTGAAGGTATTGAAAACAAAAAGTATTGTTCTAGCAAAACTATCTCGGCACAGTTTTTCTACACCGAATCCGGGGGGGGGGGGGGGGGGGGGGTCGAATTTAGGCCTGAATCGTTTGGCGTGGGATGACGTCCCAGCTACCTGTGGAACAAAAAGAAAATGCAGTGTTTTCTTGAGGTTTTTACATGTGAGGGGGGGGGGGGGGGCTGGAGCCCCATAAGTCCCCCCCCCCCCTGGCTACGCTTCTGGTAGCCATATAAGGCAATAATTATTAATATTGGATCCCGCTACTCCTTCAAACAACTGCGTGGAACCGTGCTTTGGCTGCCGAAGGTAACTGTTGTTGTCTTTTGTAATTCAGGCACACTCAGGACTTTACCTCTGGTAGAACTTTTGGTAGAAGAGGAAGTGAGGAGCTTTTACTGAGGTAAGTCATGGAAGAAAGGTAGGATGTATAACAACCGTTTTCCTGGCAATACTCGTATGTTCTTTTATTATATGAAACAATCGATAGGTCGATTTCACTAAACATTCAGCGCATGTTTGACGGCGCCATAACCAACGTTTTCATATCTATCAGTTGACAAGCTCCACGGGAGGGCGTCATTCGAAAACGGCTGTTTTCTGTTGCTTGCATGCAAACAGGTACAGGCGGATAGCGTTTCTAGCGCCACCATGCGGCAAGCCTCCACGCGGGCAATGCTAGATAACTGTTTTCGAGCGACGCTCTTTTTTCGCAAGCTTATGACAAAACTTTATGTTTACGATAAAAACCAAACTAGTATCACTTTTTGTCGCAGGCAATGTGTAATCCAACGTGCCAACGATTTCGCCCCAACTGTCCATAGAGCGGGCTGATAGCGTAGTAAGCGCCACCAAACAAACGCGCCACACAAACACAAACACACACACAAAAAAAAGCGTTCACGTTTTAGGTAAAGTTACTGGATCTTAGGATCCAGTAACTTTACTGGATCTTAGGATCCAGTGATTTTAGTCTCACTGACTTTGATCTAATAACGATGGCTATAACTGTATTCCAGAGAAAGCAGACAACGGTGCAAGAGACAGCTCGTGCAGTCTCGTGCTCCTCTCGTGCAGACCCTCAGCGGTGTCGTCGTACGTGTAGAGACTGCAGTTCCCACAATGTATGGCAACATAGTAGCGCAACAAGACAGACGTGAAAACGGTCTATGAGAGGGAGAAAAAAAATATCAGATTTTAGAATACTCGTCGCAGTGACATTATTGCTGAAAAGACGTGCAGGTAGATTTCTTAGTGCTGTATAAATATTCGTAAACTTCGATTTTCATTAAACAAAAATTTTTTTATTTCATTACAACGTTGCGCTCACTTAAAAACAAAAATTCAGGGGACTGGGTAGAACTGCGTCTGTACAAAGAAGCATGGTATTATTTTTCTCTTTTTTCTTTACAATATATGCAAGTTCAACAGAAAGACATGCAATTACCGCATTGACCCGTAACTGATTCTCGCTGATAAACTGCTAGCAGTGCAACGCATTGATCTACCAGCAGCTCATAAATGAAATTGATGATAACGAACGAAATGGTCAACTTCTTAATCCTCCAGCTAACGAGAAGGCCGTCCTGTCTTTTCCCCCTTTTTTGTGTTAATTGTTTGCAACATGCTTCTGCTACTGAAGGCGTTAAAATTGGGCAATCTCAGTTATATGCGTGGATTACCCATCTTACGATAAATGGTAGAATGAGTAATTTTACAAACATTTCCATCATCAAAATAATCTAGCTTGGACGATGCATTCGTAAACGTTCGCCCCACATCTGTGTTTTTCCCTAGCAAAAGAGCGATGATTATGGACAGCCCGGACGCGGTGGACGCCAACCAAAGGTACCCGTCTCCCGTTCGCTTCCTGATCGCCTGCTACCACGCCATGATCTCTCGCTCCGAAGTTGTCTGCTACCTGCTGATCGTGCTGAACCAGCTCAAGTCGGCCAGTCTCCTCTCGCTTCCCCTCCCGCTCATGGTCTTCCTCTGGGGTTCCCTGTCCGTGCCGCGCCCCACCAAGACCTTCTGGATAACGATCATCACCTACACGGAGGCCATCATCGTCGTTAAGTACTTCTTCCAGTTTCACTTCTTCGACTGGAGCTACCGAGAGTCTGTGACTGTGCCCTTCGATCCCCAACGCATCCTGGGCGTCGGCAGGCGGGAGGGTCACAGCGATTACGCCATCTACGACCTCCTGCTTCTGCTTTTCGTCTTCTTCCACCGATTCATGCTCAAGAGCCTGGGCCTCTGGAAGGACAGCGAGCGGGGCGTGGGCGCGCCCATTACTCCTCCGGGAGCTCCAGAAGCGCCTGAAGGGCGCTTCTACACGCCTGGCCGGAGGTCCCTTACAGCTCGCCGGGATGAGGTCTTTCCTCTCGCATCAGGAAGCATGATGGACGTGCGTACGGGACACGAAAAGGTAAGAGGGTGCCTTGTGCTATGACGAATGTTTTCGTTTTTCAATCACATCAACACTCGCGCGAAACAAAAATAATTATAAGGTTTTGTAGTCATTAGTAATATGTTTCAAATAAACACTTTCATCTTAAACTTTTCTCTATCATCGTGAAGCTGCTGTTGCTGATGTACATACGTCAACTGATTTGCTTGCGCGTTGTTGTTGTTTTTCAGAAAAGCTGCTTATGGCTAGGGTCCCATGGATTTTTCGTTTGCGTCAACAAGAACTCTATTTCCCCCCCTAAATTTAGCGGAAAAGTGTTCCCGCCAAATTTAGTCTTGCAATCTTGCAATCTTGCAAGATTGCATCTTGCAATCTTGTAAAATTCACTCTTCTACATCGATTATTTCTGTTTATTGGATTGTGTCAACCAAATTAAATCTTTTTTGGGGTACTCTTGCAGATCACGAATTTCAATGCACGGTACACGGACACCAGCTCCTCGGTTTTCCGCGATGTTGAAGGTTGGTGTTCTCGGCTGGAATACCGTGCAGTGTTGACACTCAAACAAGCTAAAGCCTTCGAAAAATATGCACGGTCAAAACATGGAGGTGAACTCCTGAAGAAGAGCTCTTGTAGGAAAAGGCGGATCGGTGACTAAATGTGTTATATATAATATTCACTGAGAGGCTTAAGAAACACAGGCCGTACTTTATTATGTTGACGTTTTTTGCTTCGTTATTTGTTCTTCCATGTTCTTAACGGTTAATGCAGGAATTTCCCTGACTGTGCGGAACTTTATTGAAATGCTCGAGACTCGCCATGCCATGCATTCCTTAAATTGTCAGTGAATATAGCTCTTAACAGCTCGTTTGACGTAAAGCAAAGCTCGTGTTGCAAAACCCAAGGATTCTAGGTTTAGTCTCTAGTCTCTCTACCTCTGACTGTTTACATCTGGATCGCGATAGCAAGCGGGCGTGTATCACCATTGCATGCATCATGCGCGCTAAAGACTCCGCGCTCGTAGTCGTCGAACTACACTGGCTAAAGTACTCGTCCACAACGCAACATTATGGCAGATGGACCACACGATGTCTTTACGAACCTAATATGGTTGCTCGGTCTCTTTTAATGCACGAATAATTTGGCTTGAATCCCACCTGAGATAGAGCGAAAACGACTCTGGCGTGGAATCGCTCTTGCGAAAATCCCCGCCACTTTGAGCACTTCCCTTAAATCATTAACATATAGGCATTTATAATGACCCCACGAAAGGGGATATACTAATTCGTCGGAAAATATCCTGGCGGTCGGGATACAAGTGATCTTAATATTTTCTCAGGTGCCTCAACGGCACAATATATTGAGTAAACTTTTTGTGGCGGAGGTACTTTACGATCTTCCACTTGAAAAATGAACGGTATTTTGCAAATTTTATACCTAATGATGCCCGACCAAATTAACCTTTTTTTTAATTCGAGTGTTGTTTTTTTATAATTTTAAGGCATCGGTTATACCAACTACTCGCATTTCTTGAGTGTCATGTGCCTGTTTAGTCAGTGAGAGTTTTAATGTAATGTGGCGAGAACCGCAATTTTAATTTCCTCGTTGTCTTCGAATCCTCTTTTTCAACATGTAGATAGAGGCAACCTAGATGGATACTTCCTCTACGTCACCATGAATTTTAATGGGTACGTCTAATTACCTTGCCTTCAAAATAATCTAGTAACGCCCTTGAATTATTACTGATAAGCTTTCTATTAGAACATAGAGCTTCCTTCAAACAAAGTGAAATATTGGAACATCGCTGATTTTCCATCATCAGCGATCGGGGATACCGAGAAAGTAGCTGCATTTTTGGGAAAGGCTCCGATGGGAGGGAGTATTACTATAAATTACTGTATTTTGTATAAGAAATCAAAAAAAAGTTAAGGATTTCTTTTTTTTAGGGGGTTGTGTGTGTGAGTGTAAAACGTTTATTGAGCCTGCAGCAGTAGCCCTAGACTACCGGACGGGGGGTTAATAATTAGCTGCAACAAATGCAACTGAAACACGAAAAAAACACCCAATGCAAACCCTCGATGTACTTATCTCCTCTCTTTGTTTCGGTATGTTTGCCAGTGCCAAGTATGTTCTTTGTGACATAGCTGAAAACGTCATTATTTTTAAATATATATTCCACCTATCATAAGGATCTCGTCACTTAGAGAAGAGCATCCCCCTTACCAAACACCTTCCTCATCTTGGTAAACACGACCATCCCATCCCGACCGAAAAAACTGCGCTTCCAAAAACTTTTTTTTTGTATTTTGAAGGAATAACACAGGTTTTCGCAATAGAGTAAAGCTCACCCGCGTGAATCTTTCCTAATATATTTTATTGATTTCTCTTTCTCTTTCTTTTTCTCTGTCCCCCCCCCCCCCCCCATGTTCAGCATTTCACGCTATCTGGAGCCCTTCCGCACCTTCTTCCAAAACCTGCTGAACCCGCTGCACAGGGTGACAACGGACGTATATGCCTACATGTTTTTCTGCGATTTCATCAACTTCTTCATTATGGTCTTCGGCTACTGGGCTTTCGGAGTACGTGCAACCAAACTCTCACCCTTGATCTGAACACCAAAGCATCGCTCAATCCGTATCACAAGTTCGGTGCAGTGTTATTGAATGAATTCAGAGGTTTCTTTTCATATATGAACTTATAAAACGAGGTCATTTTGAACGTTTGCGCTTCTGACCTAAACCCTTATTCAGGCTGCTGAAAACTTGTTGCGTAGCTTTGTCAAAAGGAATTACAAGAATGGCATTTTCTCACGTAAATTGACAGTTTCGGCTTTTTTCGGAGTGTGAACGTCGGAGTATATTATATAAAGGAACATTTTCCCACAGTAGTGTGTAAACTTTAGCTACTAGAAACAAAATTGCAACAAAGTTGTTAACTAATATGACAGCACCTTCCATTCGATTTGCGGAGCAGCATTTAGTTGTCGAAATACAAACAATTGCTCGAGCATAATTTTGAAGACGGAAAACGTCTCTAATTGGAATGTTCTAACTAAAAATATTTGTTAAAAAATAATTAGTGGTTTTTAGCTAATTAAACCTATTTCCACTTTACGTTCGTAACCATACGGCCGCCGCGGCCGATAGCGTTATCCCGATAGGAATCATTTTCTTATTTTTGGTCTCATTTTTTTTACGTATTTGTCATCTTAGGAAACAATGCCGTGTCTAGGCATGTAACGTTTGCAAGGGGAGCGTAACTGCCCTGTTGACATGATACCCACCCTGTTTCAGACGGGAAACTCAGAACACAGCGTGGCATCTTACTTTCAAAAGAATGAGGTATGTCAATTACCCTTCACTCTCAGTCCCCAGAATTGAAATTACAAAGGAACAACTCAAAGAACCCAGAATATATCTCATAGTCATAACGCAACATTGTCGTTGGACTTGTTGTTGATCATTGCTACATGCGGATAGCGTGTGACTGGGCCTACGCTGGAAGTCTGGGGACCTATGCTTTGTTAAATTATTTCGCGAATTGCAGATTCAAATCGCAGGGAAAGCGAAGTGGTGTGCCATAATCGGAGAACACATATCGCCATAACCGCGATCTCCATTTCCCAGGTGCCCGTGCCGTTTCTCTTGATACTGTTGGGGCAGTTCGCGCTCATCGTGATCGACCGAGCGCTCTATCTGCGCAAGTTCATCCTGGGCAAGCTTGTATTCCAAGTCTTCCTCGTGTTCATTATTCACATCTGGATATTCTTCATTCTGCCGGTCATTTCCCAGCGCTCTTTTGTGGAAGATATGAGCCTTCCGCCTAAACTTTGGTACTTCCTCAAGTGCATATACCTGCTACTGTCCGCCTACCAGATTCGCTGTGGCTACCCTACGCGAATCCTGGGAAACTTTCTCTGCAAAAAATATACCATGGTCAACTATGTTCTATTCAAAGGGTGAGTTAGTGCGCCATGCGCACTTTATATACCGAGAGTAAGCGTCAGTCCATTTGTTCCCAGTGGCATGCTAGCCTACGTGGTGTTGTTTGTCACATTTGCTTATTTAGATTGCCAGCAATCTACGTGTTCGTCAAGCCAGAACGACTTTTGTGGTTCTGGCTTCGTATTGTTTTGTTATTATTATTTAAGTCAAGTGTAGAAATTACCTGTTTTAGACCTTGTAAAGACGTTGACAATTCTCTGTAACACCGAATTAGGGCGCAGCTCTTGAGGAGGAGGGGGTGTGGGGAGAGTATGCTCGTGTGATTTCACCAGCGTGACTTCACTCGTGACCCTCGCGACGTCACTCGTGACCTCGTGACGTCAATCGGTGCCTTCGTGACGTCACACGTGACCCTCGTGACGTCACTCGTGACCTTCGTGACTTCACTGGCGACCTTCGTGACGTCATTCATCACCCTCGGGACGTCACTCATGACCCTCGTGACGTCACAGGTGACCCTCGTGACGTCACTGGTGACCTTCGGGACGTCACTGGCGTCACGAGTGACTTCATTCGTGTTGTCACTCGTATCGTGACGTCATTCGTTACCCTCGTGACGTCACTGGTAACCTTCGTGACGTCACGCGCAACGTAACGTGTGACGTCACGCGGTTAAGCCGACGGCGTCGTTGACACCGCTCAACCCGAAAACGGGCGCCTAACAGCTGCGCTCTAAAACAATAAATTTCAGACGAGAGCGACCTCTCACATTCTTTGCACTTCTTACGAGTCTTCTTTTTGTTGTTTTTCTAAAACAATTTAACGTCACATTACAAACAGTGTTAACAAGCCCGAGTAATTCATAATTCACGAGACACTGAATTGTGGCAAATAGAATGCACACTAAAAATATTACACTCTTAAAGGTGTGCATCAGCTTGTCCTAAGAATTAATTCTCTTGGGTTTGCAGGTGTAAACCAGCACCCTTAGAATGCGGCCTATATGCCGGACAATTGAAAATCACTCACTGTATCTGTGACTGCCTAAAACTTTAATTCGATTATTCGCCGCCCTTTAATCGATTAATCGGTTTCGTTCATTGCCATTTATAATAATTGGAGGAAAACAATCAACATTACTTTTTTTTGCCTTTGCTGAATATGTGATAAACGGCCCAATGAAGAATTTTAGATCTTAAATCAACCTTGGTGTGGAGTTGAGAACAGTCAGAAGACACCCACAGTCACAAATTACTTGAGCCGCTGAGACATAAAAGTTCGTGGATATTTTCCAGTAAGAGTGACTTCCCTCGAGTATTCACAATAGTCTCTGCTACGCTAAACGGACACTCGCACGGCGTTAAAGTGACTTGGACACGTATAAGCCTCTCCGCTTGTTTGGAATTACAAATCTCGTCTCTATAGAGCTTACTTTAGGTCAAAATTTCACCCAAGTTTGCCTTCATACAGGTGTGCTCGTTCAAGTCTCCTTGGTGAAAGCGTTACATTTTTACTTTTTTTTTGTCGATATTTAACCGATTAACTGGTTCAAAACGTATTCGCGATTAAGGAATTCGTTGATTAATCGGTGGGTTAATCGATCAAGTGCCCACCTCGAGTAATTAGGCTACAAAGAGGTTGCTTTTTGCTCATCGATGTTTTATAGGAAGTATAAATTTTCGAAGTGCAAGAAATTTATGTAAGTAAAAAAAAAGCATTGCTGCATGCAATGATAATTTCATATACTAACTGAACCAACGCCACCTAAATCCTCTTTTGCTATTATAAACGGCATATTACTGATAATAAGGGACTCAGAACGGTGTAACAATGGGTGGAAGTCTTTGGGACAACCTTTTTTACACCCTTACGGGTTTAATCTTTGTGATCTGCGAGTGTAAAACATGTAGGCGAGGAATAGTACACCTCTGGTTCTTGTGATGACGCTGAAGGTACATGCTGGTTCCGTTCCTATATGAGCTGCGCTGTCTCATGGACTGGATCTGGACGGACACCCATATGAACCTCGGCGAGTGGCTTAAAATGGAAGACATTTTCGCTAACCTATTTCCTATAAAATGTCTGCGTCGTGACGACGAGGAGTTTCCTGTGCCCAGGTAAGCCCACCTTACCATCCATGAAGATAAAGACCCATCCATGTCTTATACGCACTGACTTCGTTTCACCTTACGGTGAGCCGTAGCCAACGCTGCGAACCATCGAACGCAATCCCGCGCTCTGAACGTATTACCCCTTACAAAAATGGCATATCTGGACTTATATAAAAACATATATGGTTATATAAACAAAAAAGGCATATCTGGCCATATGAAGCACATCAGTTTATATAAGCCTATAAAGCATATCTAGCCAGATATGCCCAATTGTTTTATATATCCATATCTGAGTATCCCAAATACGGGTATATCTGCCTCCTTAAAAGGCCAGATATGCCCAATTGTTTTATATATCCATATCTGAGTATCCCAAATACTGGTATATCTGCCTCCTTAAAAGGCCAGATATGCCCCAATAAAATAAGGCAACCTTTATATATACAGGGTGTTTCAGAGAACGCAGGCCAAATCGCTCCTGCGAAAACTACTCATCGCAACGAAAAAAAAGTTGTGGCGTTTTGGTCCTGGGTCAGGGACCATTGAGAAAAATGATTAAAGTCCGGGATAATTAAGTTGCTAATTATTTTTGCGTAATTAACTTTTTTAATATTGTGTTTAAGGGCATGGTTTAAATTGGAAATTTTCTCAACATCATCGAAAAGCACTAAATCAACAAATTGCAGGACGATACAAGGCATGCGAAGCATTTTACGGTTTTCTGAAAAACCGCACAAAATCGACGGGTTTTTAAGTTTCGGTTTGCTATCGGAGCGCATCTCAGCCCCGGCGGCGATAGTGCAACCAACCTCTGCTGCGCTGTCATCGCGCGACGCAGCAGAGGTTGGTAGCACTATCTCTCCACGGGGCTCGGTGCCGCCGGGGCTGAGATGCGCTCCGATAACAAGCCGAAACTTAAAAACCCGTCCATTTTGTGCGGTTTTTCAGAAACCGAAAAATGTTTTGCGTGCCTTCTATCGTTCTGCAATTTGTTAATTTAGTGCTTTTCGATGATGCGACGCGATTCTCTAATTTAAACCATGCCCTTAAACAAAATATTAAAAAGTTAATTACGCAAAATTAATTAACAACTTAATTATCCCGGACTTTATTAATTTTCCTGAATGGGCCTCTGGCCCAGGACCAAAACGACACAAGCCTTTTTTCGTTGCGATAAGTAGTTTTCGCAGGAGCGAATTGGCCTGAGTTCTTTAAAAAAAACTGTATATTGTTGTCTTCTACAAATAACTACCAAAAGTAACTTCTCATCTGTGTAAGAAAAATACCAATTCGATATTGAGCATGTACCAACTTTTATTAATTTTTGCATGAGCTGCGTTTAACGCCTCTCTTGATTTCACTCAACTTAATTCCCAGGGAAAGCAGGATTATCGACATTCGCTTAACGAATGTCGATGAAACGTTAATGGCGACAGAAACATGTGCCCATGAAACGTGTATCTACGAGAAGGTGGCCGTGGAACGTGTTATCACGAAACGCCGGGCAAATGAAAAAAATCAGTATTGTACCTGCAGTTGTGACATAATTTTAGAATTTCGGAGAAATTATTCTTCCGGCTGCCAGGAGATAGACACGGCCTTATCCTAGAGGTAATCTGGGAGAGTACCTTTAGGAAAACAATCTATTGTCGCGAAGTAGGTTGAAGCGCACTTACGTTGACGTGATGGGACTTGAAAGGTCTAATCCGACATATATGTCGACACGCCCACGGAAGAACCACCACTCAAACACAAAAACGAGAAGGAAGGTGTCCGTGAAGATTCAAAATGATGTAGCACAAGCTGTCATTTGTAGAACCGAACACTAAACACATCACACAAAATTAGGTCCGGCAGAACGCATTCCGATATTGCCAATTGCTAATGCGTCATCCGTCAAGCCACGCGACAACGCACCTTCTACTACGCTTTCAGCGTAGGGAGAGAGAGAAAAGGAGAGAAGGAGAGGCCAAAATGGGAGTGCACACACAAAAGGCTTAACTTCTGGGGGGCATCAACGACCACAACGAGCGGATTTGTCACTTGTACCGAGGTTGGTAGTGCAGTGAATGCTATGTGTGGGGCCTTAGGCCATAGAGTAATATACACAAGGTAAAGAGCGGACACTGCCATAGGCCCCAGCGGCCCAGATAGAGCAGTGACAACTAGCGCTCTTAGCGGACGGTATGAAACACAATCTGGTTCCGGTTCCGGTCAAGTTAGTTTCGGTTTCGGTTTGGGCATTTTTGTTTCGGTTTTTTGGTACCCTTCTCCTTCTCTTTT